AAAGAACTTACTCAGCTTAATTAAATATTGTTGTTAAGGACAAGTACTCAGACTACTGAGGAAGAATACTTAAGTACTGAGTATATAAACGGGATAAGGATACTACCTAAATTGTTATTTCCCAGCTTTCTTTTGTAATTTGAGCATATATAATAGAATTTGAGGATTAAATTCATGATAATGCATGACTCACTGTATTTGTATTTCTGGTGTGTGTGTGTGTGTGTGTGTGTGTGTGTGTGTGTGTGTGTGTGTGTTGTATAGTATGTGTATGTTTTAACACAGGCTGGCATGTAGCCCACATTGACTTCTGAATTGCTGTATACCCAAGGATAACTAAATCTCTGCTCTTACCGCCTTTGCTTCATGTGTACTGGGATTATAGGCATGTGCCATTACATCTGGCTTTGTATTTGTAGTTTCTGCTTGCCCAAAATTATTTTTAAGAACGTATACTAGTTGAGAGCTTAGTCTTTGAGACGTGGTAGGGCATGCTTGTAACTCCACTCCAGCATTTGTGAGGCTGAAGCAGGAGGTGTGAGCTTAAGTCGGGCCAGGGACACATTCTGATTTGCAGGCCAGCCTGGGCTGCCGTGGTGACGGGTAGTTTTGGTTGTGGACTTGATTGTATTAAGAAACACCTAGGGCTTTAGTGAGGTCTTTGAGTGTGTCTGTGAGAGCTTTCTGAAGAGGATTAACTGATGGAGAGCCATCCTGAATAGACCCATCTCTCTGTAGTGCAGTTACAGCCGCCGCCTCCTCTCCCCCCACATCTTCCCTGCTGTGCTGGAACTTACCCTCTTAAACCAAGAGCCAAATAAGCCTTCCTCTGTGGTCACAGCAACGAGAAGTAGCTAACACAGCGACATCAGCGACACTCACAGTGTGCTCACGGCACTTCCTGTCTTTCTTCTGATCACCTCTCTATAAAGTCAGCGTGAAAATAATATCTACTGGGTAGTATAGAGCCAGGGACACAGATCTGGCTGTAGTGACGGTGTGTGCTGATTTGTGAGTGTGGTGTTAGTCTACAAGGCCAGAGTTTTATTAGAATGACCTGTGACCCCATAGATCATCTTGCCTTTCCAGTCAAGCATTGCATGAAAGAGCTGCTGGCCAAGATCAGATGCTTACTATGAAAAGGGACGGAGCTGTGACTTTAGAAGGATTGAACCTACCTAAAAGAGACCACTCTTAAAACCCAGAACAAAACAAATACACTTGTCAGGACACAAAATCAGTCTTTGCATCCAGGCGAGTGGTAAGTAATTAAGGTAGTAGATTCCTACTCTGTGGATTGTTTCAACCCCAGAAGATGGTACTCTAGTACCAAAGGCAGACTTTTCTGGCGGCATGAAGGATGAGTTGCTAGGTTTTAGGTCTTGAGTGTGGGGCCAGGCAGGAGAGGCTTTACTTTAAAAGTGTGTCCCTGTTCAAAGGGGCAGTGCCGTGAGCCTGGACCTGGGCTATAGATGAAGCAGAGAATTGCTAAAAAGGAAGCAACCTCTTTTGATAGAGGGAAACCCGTAGATCCACAGTGGAAGCATTTCCAGCACCAGGCTTGTCTTCTTTTATCATGGTAGCAAGTAAAGAGATGTCTGTGTGCCGTGAAAGAACACAGTCACCGGGCTGCACGCGTGCCCGACGCTCACAAGCCAGGCAGCGAGCCTCTGAGCCTGTCTGCTGGCCCTGCTTCGTCCCACAGAGCTCCTCAGCTGCCTTAGTTAGGTGTGCACAATTCAGAAGAGCAAGATAAAGCTGTTTTAGGACAGCCAGAGCTACATAGAGAAACCCTGTCTTGAAACAAAACAACAAAGGAACTTAACCCAACTCCCAAACTTCTTTTTCCTTGGGATATCCATATATATAAATTATATCCTCCGGTCATGAGGATCTTTTTCTGGCACTACAGATGATGACCTTTTTCCATTGCAGCATAGTATTCTAGCATTGGCTATATTCTATTCAGAAAGTCTATTATTGGGCATTTGTGCTGTTTTTTCATTCGTTTTTTATAAGCGACAGAGTGCTGGAAACATCATACACTCTTCTGTCTTTGCATATGTTCCCATTTTTCTCCACAGGATAAATTCTGAAGAGTCTATCGATACATGTTAGACTAGTTCATAATGTTGGTGGTTTGCTCCGGGGACTGTAGCAATGCATGAGAAGGCCTGTGTTGTCTGTTCACTGTCTTCTTTCCTGATGTGACTAGTTCATTATTTTAGTAACTTTCCCATCCTACGTGCTGAATGTTGGTGTCTTAATGACAAACAATATAGATACTTTTTTTTTTAACCTTGCCAGGATTTATTTTGGAAGACTACAGTCTTTCTACATTTGTTTGCTTGCTGTCACTCCATTTTGCAGGATGAGATAGCAGGTAAAGGTGCCTGCAGCCAAGACTGACGATCTAAGTTCAGTTCCTGGGACGCAAAGAGTGGAAAGAACTTCCCAAGATTGCCCTCACCCCCCAGCACACCCCCTGCCTCCACACACACACAGAGAAGGAAAAAAAACATAAAAATAGGGACTGAAGCTGAGCAGTGGTGATACACATCATTAGTCCCAGCACTCGGGAGGCAGAGGCAGGAGGATCTCTGAGCTTTAGGCCAGCCTGGTCTATGGACTACAGAGCCAGTTCCAGAACAACCATGATACACAGAGAAACCTTGTCCGGAAAAACCAAAAAAAAAAGGGGGGGGGGAGGCCGGAGAGATGGCTCAGTGGTTAAGAGCACTGGCTGTTCTTCCAGAGGCCTGGGGTTCAATTCCCAGCACCCACATGGCAGCTCACAACTGTCTGTAACTCCAAGATATGATGCCCTCACACAGACATACATGCAGGCAAAACACCAATGACATAAAAAAGAATAATAGATAAATTTTTAAAAAAGGAGTGGTGCTGGAGAGACGGCTCAGCAGTTTAGCACACTAACTGTTCTGCCAGAGGACCCAGGTTCAATTCCCAGCACCCACATTGCAGCCCACAAACGTGTAGCTTTAGTTCCAGTTCCAGGGAATTTGACACCCTCCTCTGGCCTCCAAGAGTACCAGGCACTTATGATGCACAGACACACCTGCAGACAAAACACTCACACACATAAAGTGAAATAAATAATAATAATAATATGATAATTTTTTAAAACTTCATTTATTCCTCATTAATGTCAGTACCTTTTTGTGTACTTATTAGCTAGTAATCTCACCAATTACAGTCACCATTTTTTTGTTTTATTACTATTTATTGATTGTTACATAGTCATGTCTATCTTTCTCCACCTTAAAATCACGCACTTTTTCATCCCTTGGACTAACCAGGCTTTTTGGTTGCAAAACTAGAAACTGACAGTGGCCTACTTCAGTCACAGCGGTGTTGGGTCCTCCAGCATTCTGGCAGGCTGGACGGGAAGAGTCCAGGAAGTTTGCAGGCCGGCATCGGAGGAGGGCAGTGACGACAGGGATGGCCTGAGTTTGCCGCCGCCGCGCACATGACGGATGGGGTCAGTGTGTTCTCACTTCATCTCGGTGTTTACCTGTGGTTCATTGTCTGCTGTGGTAGCAAAGACAGCCAGAACCAGCTTTCGCCATCTTAATATCCCGTGTAGAAAGAGGGCACATCCCAGGCAGTGGGTGTGCAAACACCTTGGTGTTCAGTCTCTAGAGGCACATCCCAGGCAGTGGGTGTGCAAACACCTTGGTGTTCAGTCTCTAGAGGGCACACCAGGCAGTGGGTGTGCAAATAAACACTTTGGTGTTCAGTCTCTAGAGGGCACACCAGGCAGTGGGTGTGCAAACACCTTGGTGTTCGGTCTCTAGAGGGCACATCCCAGGCAGTGGGTGTGTAAACACCTTGGTGTTCAGTCTCTAGAGGGCACATCCCAGGCAGTGGGTGTGCAAACACCTTGGTGTTCAGTCTCTAGAGGGCACATCCCAGGCAG